TATTCATGTATTTTAATGACTAATAATTTTAAATTTTTTTTTTTTTGGTTTATTTGTTCTAAACCGAAAATGTCAATAAATAAAGTTAAATAAAAATACCATAATATTTTTCCTTAAAGTACTTCTTTATATTTTAAAATGTCTAAAAATAGAGAATAATGATCCATGGGTGTCATAGATCGTAACGAAACAGCAGACAAAAACTCTTTTTTTCTGACCCTGGCGGTGAAAAATTCAAGTCATTTAATAGAAGATTTTAAAGATTCAGGTTTTCAGATCCTTTCAGTTCAAATTTCTCATCGCTGAATCGTGCGTGAGACGTGAGACGCTGTTGCCTCCGTCCCGTCTTCTGAGGCACATTCAAACAGGCCTGTGTTTTAATCAGGTCCTTAAGCGCTGAGAGCGAGTAACCCCACACCGGCCCTCCTCTTAATGGTGCACATTAGTCTGAGGGCCATAAACTGATCGGGGGCCCTCACTCCGGCTCCAGTCATCACTTCCAACGGCCCGAACCCCCGCGCTATCACCCCCCCCCCCCTTCTTTAAATCACCCTAATTCAACGTTATTAATAATGAATAAAAGTGTAATTTTCTGCACCGGCTTGTGGGAATCATTTGGATGAATATTTCAGCACATTATTTTAACACATCTGTGGAGGAGGGAGAGAGAGAGAGAGGAGGGAGGGAGGGAGGGGGGGGCAGTTTTTATTGGCCCCTGCCTCTACCGCCACGGGCCCCTGGCTATTAAACCCCACGCTGTCTGCTCCGGGTCTGTAGCGGTAGTGATTTACAAGACTTGTTAAAAAACATAGTAAAAAAAAAAAAAAGAGTGGGCTCGCCGTGCCGTTTGTGCTCGTAATGCGACGCCGGGTTTGCGAAATGGAGGAGTGTGGAGGATTTATGCGAGAGGGGGCGCCGCTCGCACTCGGGCTGGACCGGCGGGTACGAGCGAGCGGCCGACGTGCCCTGGTCCGGACTCGTTACTGGGGCTGATAAAGGGCGGCTACTGTAGTGGGAGAACGGGGTCGGACGGAGGTCATGGCTGTGTTTTAATAGAATGTGACGTAAGGGTGAGGTTTCTTACGGGATGGTCCTCGGTTTGATTCTGGGACTGTGATGGGTTTTCCTGTTTTCACGCACCAACCGGCATCGCGATCTCGGGCCAACGTCTGGAGCAGGGTCCCCCCAGCCCCAGGGGTGTAGTGGGCGTGGTACATGAGGGGACTCGAGGGTTCTCCGTTCACTTGTCCCGACGTGAGATATAAAAAAACTAAAACAAATATAAAATAGGTACAACTTAAACTGGAGTTATTGGCAGTGGAACCAGGACTGAACCAGGACTAAAACAAGACTGAACCAGGACTGAGTGTTGGGACAGGCCCAGAGATGCGCCCCTGTAGACCGTCGGGTGACCGCACGGGGCAATCGCACTTTGCAGACACCCTGCTCCATGAGCTCTCTCGCTCTCAAGTCCAAGATTAGTCCTGCTTTAGTCCTGATTTCATCCTGGTTCAGTCCTGGTTCAGTCCTGGTTTAGTCCTGGTTCAGTCCTAGTTTAGTCCTGGTTTAGTCCTGGTTTTGTCCTTGTTCAGTCCTGGTTTAGTCCTGGTTCAGTCCTAGTTTAGTCCTGGTTTAGTCCTGGTTTAGTCCTGGTTTAGTCCTGGTTCAGTCCTGGTTGAGTCCTGGTTCAGTCCTTGTTCATCCTGGTTCAGTCCTGGTTCAGTCCTGGTTTAGTCCTTGTTTAGTCCTTGTTCAGTCCTGGTTTTGTCCTTGTTCAGTCATAGTTTAGTCCTGTTTTAGTCCTGGTTCAGTCCTGGTTTAGTCATAGTTTAGTCCTGGTTTAGTCCTGGTTCAGTCCTGGTTTAGTCCTGGTTCAGTCCTGGCTCAGTCCTGGTTTAGTCCTGGTTTGGTCCTGGTTCAGTCCTTGTTCAGTCCTGGTTTCATCCTGGTTCTGTCCTGGTTCAGTTCTGGTTTAGTCCTCGTTTAGTCCTGGTTTTGTCCTTCTTCAGTGCTGGTTTCGTTCTGGTTTAGTCCTGGTTCAGTCCTGGTTCAGTCCTGGTTTAGTCCTGCTTTAGTCCTGCTTTAGTCCTGGTTTAGTCCTGGTTCAGTCCTGGTTTAGTCCTGGTTCAGTCCTGGTTTCATCCTGGTTCCGTCCTGGTTCAGTCCTGCTTTAGTCCTGGTTCAATCCTGGTTCAGTCCTGCTTTAGTCCTGGTTTAGTCCTGCTTTAGTCCTTGTTCAGTCCTGGTTTAGTCCTGCTTTAGTCCTTGTTCAGTCCTGGTTTAGTCCTGGTTTAGTCCTGGTTCAATCCTGGTTCAGTCCTGCTTTAGTCCTGGTTTAGTCCTGCTTTAGTCCTTGTTCAGTCCTGGTTTAGTCCTGGTTTAGTCCTGCTTTAGTCCTTGTTCAGTCCTGGTTTAGTCCTGGTTTAGTCCTGCTTTAGTCCTTGTTCAGTCCTGGTTTAGTCCTGGTTTAGTCCTGGTTCAATCCTGGTTCAGTCCTGCTTTAGTCCTGGTTTAGTCCTGTTTTAGTCCTTGTTCAGTCCTGGTTTAGTCCTGGTTTAGTCCTGCTTTAGTCCTTGTTCAGTCCTGGTTTAGTCCTGGTTTAGTCCTGGTTCAATCCTGGTTCAGTCCTGCTTTAGTCCTGGTTTAGTCCTGCTTTAGTCCTTGTTCAGTCCTGGTTTAGTCCTGGTTTAGTCCTGCTTTAGTCCTTGTTCAGTCCTGGTTTAGTCCTGGTTTAGTCCTGGTTCAATCCTGGTTCAGTCCTGGTTTAGTCCTGGTTCAGTCCTGCTTTAGTCCTTGTTCAGTCCTGGTTTAGTCCTGGTTCATTTGTTGTTCCTGTGATTTATATTCTGAACGGTGTTAATGTTAATAACATGATTCTGCATCATTTTGAGTAAAAAAAAACATCAAATATTACTGATATTTACTGGACTGACGCCTTTATGTTTGTACCGAAATTGAGTTTTTATTTTTATTTTTTTTTTAAAGACAAGTGGGCGGGATTCATCACATCAATGACATTACAAATCACGTACCCCCACTTACAAAAATCCCCACTACACCCCTGCCCAGCCCTGCAGCGCTGTTACAGATTACAGTTGTCTCAAAAATGTGTATAAATGCACAACCTGTCACAAGTTAACAGGTACGACACATTGCCTCATTCAGTTTTTGTTTTTTTGGGGGTTTTTTTTGGATAAGACACTCCCCCTCTATCCCCGTGAGAGATTAGTGTTTGCTCCTTGTACACCAGGTTCATTCTTTCATAAAACACAATGCATTTTTTTGCATCAGCAGCTTTCACAAAGGTCAGATTTTGTAGGATTATTCTATATTTTCACAACATAAACTTTTTGAAGTTTTCAGATTGTCAAAGCCCGAAAACAGAGATGGACAATTATTTTTTCCATGGGACCAGATGAGAAACAGAAAATATTATGGACGACCAAACTACTTAACTCAATTCTACATAATATTAACTGTATTTCATTATTTTAAAAAAAAAAAAAAAAAAAATATATATAATATATATATATATATATATATATATATATTATATATATATATATATATATAATATATACATATATATATAAAAAATGTGTTTCTCACCTTCCACGGTGGTTGGTCTCTCACCCTCATTCAGCTCGGGTCGTCTACCAGAGGTCCTGGGAGCTTGAGAGTTCTGCGCAGTATCTTTGCTGTTCCCAGTACTGCACTTTTCTGGACTGAGATGTTCCATTGTTTTTCCCGGTATCTGTTGTAGCCACTCTTCCAGTTTGGGGTTACAGCCCCGAGTTTCCGATCACCACAGGCACCACTGATGCCTTTACTTTCCAGGCTCTCTCCAGCTCTTCCTTGAGCCCCTGGTATTTCTCTAGCTTCTCGTGTTCCTTTTTCCTGATATTACCATCGCTTGGTATTGCGATGTTGTCACCACCACGGCTCTGCTTCTGTTTCTTATCCACCACCACTATGTCTGGTTTGTTCAGTTCGCCATCACCATTCTGTCAGTCTGTATCTGGAAGTCCCACAGGATCTTGGCTCGGTCATTCTCCACAACCTTTGGAGGTGTTTCCCACCTTGATCCTGGGGTTTCCAGCCCGTACTCTGCACAGATGTTTCTGTACACTATGCCCGCACTTGGTTATGTCGCTCCATGTATTGCTTTCCCTGCCAGCATCTTACACCCCCGCAGTTATGTGCTGGACTGTCTCAGGAGCCTCTTTGCACAGTCTACACCGTGGGTCTTGTCTGGTGTGGTAGATCTGGGCCTCTATTGCTCGAGTGCCCAGGTCCTGCTCCTGAGCAGCCAGGATCAGTGCCTCTGTGCTGTCCTTCAGACCAGCCCTCTCAAGCCATTGGTAGGATTTCTTGATATCAGCCACTTCAGTTCTGTTCCGGTGGTTCGCCCCATGTAGGGGTTTGTCCTGCCATGATGGTCCCTCCAGCTCCTCTTCCTCTGGACCCCACTGTCTGAGACATTCTCTGAGCTTTTTCGGTTTGTTCCTCCGTTCCGTTCCTCGTCGGTGTGGAGTGATGAGTGTGTCTGTGGGTGTTTTTCGCTGCACGGTCGCTGTCTGCTCCATGTGTGTTTGCGTGCGCTGCGGGTGGTGCGGCTTTGTAGTTTACTGAAGTCGTACTGGGACACCTGAGTGGATTCGTGTATATTGCGCTCTGGATTGTGGGGCATGCGGTCATTTTTTGTTGGGGTTAGAGGCTTAAGAGTGCGCCCTATAGCCCAGAAAATACGGTAATACAAAAGAAAAATCTTCAGGTCTGGATCTATTTAGGCAATTAACTCATTTGAAGATCAGTAACTAGGTTCTATAGTACATTCCCTCTAATCTTACAGGCTTCCCCGGTGGGAGGATGCTCCAATTGTACATCATGACATATTTTCATACAAATTAAATTGAAAAAAGTGAAATGAGTTTGAACCCCATAAAATAAAGTGTTCAATTTCAGTGTGTATGTTTTGACGTGTGCTCCCGTCTCCTCAGCCACATGCAGGACTTCTGGAGGCTGGACGACTGGGAGGACGACCTGAGGCGGAGGAGGAGGTTCATCAGAAACCCCTTTGGCTCCACGCACCTGGACGTGCCCTGCAGGAGCTTCCCCGAGGACGGTGAGACAGACACACTCATGTTCTGTACCGTCTGTCCACACTCACCTGCACTGCACATGGACACGGGGGGGAAAGGGGGGACAGAAAACATTCCTATACTTTAGTCCCTGGGGCCTCTGTTACAGCCACATGTGGGCGGATCCCTCAGCGTCACACACACACACACATCACATGACCCGGTACAGACTTGTGCGTTAGTGTGACCTCTAGTAGGGGTGTGCAAAAATATTGAAATATCGATATATCGTATTGTTTAATGTGATGACACAATATTGATATCGTGGGCTGCTGTATCGATCTATCACCGAGAGTATTTTTGGTATATTTTACTAAATTATTTTGCTACAGAGCTACAGTTTTGGTGTTTGTTTAGACCAGTGGTGCTCACACTTTTTCAGCGTGGGAGCTACTTACAAAATGACCAAGTCATAATGATCTACCTAATACAAAGCCAAGCAAACTGCACTGAAACACTCTGTGCCACTTTTTTGGACCCTCACCCACAGTTTGAGAACCTCTTCTTTAAGAGAACTTCCTCTGGCACTTTACACAAAACTGTGAAAAAAGTGAAGGAAGATTTTTAAACCTGTTTTTTAAAGTTCCAAACTGGAGTTGCATTCTTTTCTGGTTTTGCAGTGATATTTACCAGCCTCTGCACGTTTACCAAACCAAACGCACATCGTGACAAACACAGATGCATTTGTGCACTTTTGTTAGACAAACTTCAGCCAAATGTGGCAGTAGGTCTGTTCTGTAGATCCGCTCTATGCTGTAGACCTGCTTTGTGCCAACACTGAAACACAAATTTAGACTGTTTTTTGCTTCACGTTTGGTCTTGCTCTTCTAATCAGCCGCACTGTGGGAGGGGCTTGTGTTCGCTGTACGCAGGAAGGAGCGAGAGCGTGAAAAGGCGAGGGGCGGCGTGCTGACGTGAGGCAGATGGACAGGTAGGATGTTTAGGAAGTTGAACCTGCCCTGTGACGCACGCTGGTACACGAGGGCACACGCTGTCGCAGACGACGCTGCCGTGCATAGGGAGCGCGTGTGTGTTTGTGATGCGCCGTAGAGTCTCCGCGGGTTTCAAATGAGCGCACAGGCTGCACTGAGACGCCCCCACACGCTCCTGCACCCCGCTACAAGTTTATTACCAACAGCAGCGGCCGTAATGAAAAATATGATCACACTTGTTGAGTGTCAGACCTCGAGTGAGAGACAAGACCGAGTCCAAACGTGAGTCCGAGACGAGACACGGCGATCTACCCACACGACCTTGGCGATCGACTGGTAGATCGCGATCGACGTATTGACCACCCCTGGTTTAGAGGAAGGAAACGTTTTTGCAACACATTTGACATTTTCACTGTTTTGAGGATTAAAATGTTTGTGTTTCATATGAACTTTGCACAAGAAGTGGTTTAACAAAGACTTTTAGTATCACAGCCGCGATTTAGACTTTGAATCGTATTGAATTGAAAGCTCATTGTACCGAGTTATATATCGTTTCGTGACCTATGTATCCTGAAACCTGCATATATAGTTCTTTTTTCAATCTGAAAAGACTTTGTGATGTCATGTGGTTCATACATCTTCACTAGAATAATTTGGATAACTTCAGCCCTGAAATTGCCAATATTTGCTGAACTAAAGGCAAAAGGAGCCGTTAACTTAGGGTGACCAGATTTTTAAGATCTAAAATTGGAACACCCGCTTTTTGTGGTGGTCGGTAATAAAAAATAAAATTGTAAAACGAGTGGGTTATGAAGGAAAATTGTTCCGCACTTGGCCCATTCATGACCAACATGAGTCAGTACAGTCACATTTTCTTTGTGTTTTGGTCGTTTTTCAGCAGCTTTTCTGTATTTTACCTAAACAAATGACAATTTATGCCTCTCTTTACTGTTCAAACTGGTCAAAAATAGGGACACCTGGGATATTTTTTGTATAAAACTGGGACAAATCAGTGGTTTTAGATAAATCTGCTGGGACAGGGGACGCTAGGCTCAAAACTGGAACTGTCCCTGGTAAATAGAGACGTCTGGTCACTCTATGATAACTTCAAAACTACGCTTCATGACATCACAAGGTGGAACTGAGCATTTTGAGTTTTGGAGAAGAGGTAGCAGCATTATAACAGCACTTACAGCTCACAAGAGTCAATTTTGTGCAATACAGGAGCTTTAACTCTTTCCCCCTTGGACGCCGACGAGGAACAACCCATACATATATGACTAGGACTACGCATAGAACATAACTGCATAAAAGAAAACAGACTTCCACGAGTGATTATAAATGATTTTCACACTCATGAACTTAATTGAAACAGATATATTTGTATCTCTGGAAACCTCAGACTCTAAACTCTTCATTTATGGATGTTTAAATGTGATTCAACTCATTTACAGGTTTATAACAGCTCACTGAAAATGAGAGTTTACCTGGTCAGGTGCAAAATCGAAAACAAAAAAACTACATTCAGCTCTTGATATATGCATGTTCTGAGTATTATAGTCATAAAAAATGTAAAAAATATATTAGTCAAAGTATCTGAACAGATTTCATATCACCAGATACAGTAAAGTAAAGTGTGCACCTGTTTGTACCTGTTGTTCACCTGTGTGGACCTAATTCGTTTTTTCCATTTAGCTTATTCAACTCATTTAACTTATTATAATATAATAATAAAACTCCGTCAGTGGGTGTCCAGTACTTGTTATCTTGGTTACTTTCTCGTGTGCAGAGCTCCGCATAAGTGTTTGTTTCTGTAGTGATTGTGTTATACATCGCATCTTGGAAAAAAAAGTTAAATATTTCAAAGGACTCACCTGAGCAACATCCAGATTTCGAGGCAATTTTGGTTCACGCCTGGATACAAAGAAGGAAAAAAACTGAGGCACTCAAAAACTACAAAATAATTGCTAAAGAATTGTCGAAGGGCTGAAAGGCGTTGGCGTATTTTAACTTTATCTGCCATGTGGTATTAAAGGCTTTTAATTATTTTGTACTTTTTGAGTGCCTCAGTTTTTTTCCTACTTTGTATTTGAGACTGGTCCCTACACTGAAGAGCACCAAAAGAACAATTCTGCACATTTTTTGCATATCCCAAGTAGCTCTCCTGCCCCCAAAGCTTTATAAAGCCTGGACAGTTTGTTGGGATATCGCAGGACTCCACACAGACGCATCAGCGGCGTTCTCACCTTCGTAAGATTCACTCTCTGAAAGTCCGTCGCGATCGCTGTTTTCCACTTTATAATCAACTTCATCATCACTTTGAAATCTATAAAAGTCACTTTCTCTAAACTTATCCATACAATACATCCGCTCCTCATTATTTCTAAAACTGTGCCGTGATCTTTCCATTGCTCGTGTTTCGTGTTGTGTTTTTTCCGGAAGTTACAAATCGCCACTACTTCGATTAACTTTGGAAAAAATCGGCAAAAACATATCCTTGAATCCTATTGGTCAGTCTAGTGTGGATTGTAGTGGCCCCCACCTTTCGCAGTCTCTGTTTACATGTGAAAAACACGAATCGTTTCTAATGGTCGTCAAATCACGTCTTTAGTGAAACAGGCAGTGTTGGGAAGGTGACTTTTAAAATGTTTTCCCCTACAGATTACAGATTACACACCCCAAAATGTAGTTTGTAACGGAATCCATTAAATTACTTAAAGTGAGTAACGTAATCTGAATACTTTGGATTACTTGGTTTGCTGTAGAGAAGCAAAAACTTGGATATCTTCACATAAGAAGTTTTGTCTGCTAAAAGCTCAGTCTTTCCTTAACCGTATTAAAAATGTTATTGATAGAAGAAGAGGAGACACAGCATGATATCGTTCTGTTAAATCCTGTTTTAGTCCAGTTTTAGACCTGGTTTAGTCCTGGTTTAGACCTGGTTTAGTCCTGGTTTAGACCTGTTTTAGTCCAGTTTTAGACCTGGTTTAGTCCTGGTTTAGTCCTGGTTTAGTCCTGGTTTAGACCTGGTTTTAGTCCTGGTTTAGACCTGGTTTAGTCCTGGTTTAGACCTGGTTTAGACCTGGTTTAGTTTTAGTCCTGGTTTTAGACCTGGTTTAGACCTGGTTTTAGTTCCTGTTTTAGTCCTGGTTTAGACCTGGTTTAGACCTGGTTTTTAGTCATTTTAGTCCTGGTTTTAGACCTGGTTTTAGTCCTGGTTTAGACCTGGTTTAGACCTGGTTTAGTCCTGGTTAGACCTGGTTTAGATCCTGGTTTAGACCTGGTTTAGTCCTGGTTTAGACCTGGTTTAGATCCTAGTTTAGACCTGGTTTTTAGTCCTGGTTTAGACCTGGTTTTAGTCCTGGTTTTAGACCTGGTTTAGATGGTTTAGACCTGGTTTAGTCCTGGTTTTAGACCTGGTTTAGACCTGGTTAGTTTTTAGACCTGGTTTAGGTTTAGACCTGGGCTCAGTTCTGGTTCGATCCTGATATAGTCCTGGTTTAGTGTCCGGCAATGAGTGAAATTACCCATATAGCCCAAAATGTGAAAATAGGACAATACCTCTGTGTAATCCATTTATTTCAATAAAGTAACTGTAATCCAATTACCACTCACTTGAAACAGTAACTGTAACTGAATACAGTTACTCATAATTTGTACTCTGATTACGTAACTCCGGTACATGTAATCTGTTACTCCCCAACACTGGATACAGCGGAGGTGTCGTCTTCATGGGGGAAAGAGTTTAATAGTTCATTTTTAAGAAAGTGAAATCAACTTGGGTCATTTTATGTAGTTGCACTTGACGCATTATCGCACAATTAACCCAAAACTTGGCTTTGCTTTACATCAGCTTGTATAAACTTTAGATTTATCGTGGTTTTCTAATTATAAATCACGCTCGTTTTGTACAGAAACAATAAAACCCGACACAAACATGCAATTTGTAAAAAGAGTTATGCAATACTTTTCGAGAATCACAATTTGTAGCCGTCTCGTTTGACCTGCAGTTTCATACACTATAAACCGCGCTACGGCCCAAATCAGCATAG